TAATCCAGTGTTTCTCAAAGTGTGGGGCGTGCCCCCCGGGGGCGCGATGACCCTACAAGGGGGGCGCGAGCGTATCGAAAATTTAAAGATTTTTTTAAAAAAATAACCGGAAAGAGAAGTAAAACAAAATGCTTTCTTCCATAATAAAAAAAAAAAAATACACACACAACAACACTGACATAATTTATGTTTATTATCTGGCTTTTTCCGTCATCAAATAGCTATCTTTGATCCCAAAACCAAATTAAAGAAAAAAAAAAACATTTTGTTTAATGTGCTGTATTTCCTCAAAGAGAGATTTTTTTATTACGTTTTAACATAAAATATTACTCGTTAAAAGAAAAACGAAACCCAGACCCTGAGAAAAATTCTAAGAAGATAAACAATTCACCACTGTAATTATTATTGAAATACTGTACATTAGTTGTAGAAAAAGAAAAGGAAGTCATGATTCACTTTTCAGCCAGGCTGCATAGTACGTTTGCTAATCATTTGATTGACCTTCAATCTTATGGTATGGTTATTATCAATATTAGTTCCCTCCCATCTTTTATGTGTTTGCTTTTCGCTTAGGGAAATTGTAAATAATTGAGTTTTGCGATATTTGGAAAAGAATTGATTGGTTTAACATTTCTGTAGGATAATTGAAAAGTGTCTGATTTGCGTCCTTTATTATGGTCTTGTACTTTTGAATCATTTTGGTTCAGTTTTATTGGATTTTTTTCAAATCATCAAAGAATTGAATAGTCCTTGAAAGAAGGTAAGTATACTTTCTATAAATTAAAATATTCACTAGAATTCCGATTTGTATCGTGTACAGTAAAAATAATTCTAAACAAATGATTGGGGTGACTGAGTCCCCCCGCACTACCATTAATGTTAGTATATAGTACGCGCCTGCTCCCGGGTTAAAACATTTTGAAGTCTTCTCGCTTTAAATGTTAAAAAGTAACACAATTATTCTTCATCGGAATTTTATATTCTTTTTCATAATTTAACATTAATTCTAAATGCTAATTGTGTGAGGTTTAAAATTACAGTTCTTTTAAACAGTTATTTACAATTATAGCATTTATCTAAAAAAAAAATCATTTTACATTTTTGTATACAATGTCGTGCACACAGTTTTACTCTCCTTACAGTTCAGCTGTTATATCAAGAATAATGTTTTATTTTTTTAAAAAATGAACTCGTGCGAAGAGTCGGTGTTTCAGCCAGTATATGTTTGATGTATCAGTACTGAAGAAGGTATTTTATAAATAATTTCTTATTACTGAATTTGGCCGCGGTAGCCGAGTGTTATAGGTATCGGATCGTGGCTTGCCTTGTCACGAGTTCGAGCCCAGTACCACTAAAGACCCGCCGTGTAGGGCAGCGATGCATGTTAAATCTGTTGAGAGTTGAAACGTTTTCCCGTTGGTGTGGTGTGGTAGTTAGGAGAGAGGGGTGCCAGCTCAGGTGTCATCCACGTCACTTGACCATGGTTCAAAATTACGTGGTCCGTCGTCAAAAGCCCTCGTGCAGCTGAACAGTGCGACGTTAATATTCAATCCATCAATCTTATTACTAAATTAAGAACAAGTTTAATAATTATTAGGGACTTCCACGGGCTTGTCTTGTAGAGGAAAGTTTTTCAAAGGAAGGTTTAATATCAGAAATTACACTTAAAGAGTTATTTTTCTATATTTAGCTGAGATCTATATTTTGTCCTCAAGGCATCCACTGCAGAAAATTCGCTTTGAAAAAGGTAGGATGTTGAAAATGGTAATAGTATACGAAGTGCTTTTGTTTTCAGTACAGATAATTCCTCATCCACCTCTACCTCAAATTCAAAGAGCGATTTATTACAAAATTGCTTTTTAATTTTTCACTGGATGTGAAATCTATGAAGATTTCTTCTTCGGAAGTTGAGAGCCCTTCTGGAGTATCTTGAAATAGATCCCTAATCCACTCGTAACTTGCTACCAAGCTGTCCTCATCCAGAAAATACTTTTTAAAATTCTTTGCCAACATAGCTAAATGATTTTACATGTTTTAAAAACAACTTTCACATGTTGTTCTACAGATTTGTAAGTTTTAACACATATCGAGCTGGGGCTTTTTTTCCATCATTTACTTCAGTAGTGGTAAATCCAAAATTTAAGTATTTTTGAGAAGATCGCCTTGATTTAATTTTCGGAACCATGCTCGTTCGTCTGTGTACTTGTTGATTCTTTATTATGGTAGAATGTTTGCTTACGACTTAAAAATGTATATGTATGATATTGTTTTAATCTACTGCCGTAAATACTTAATTACCGTGAATTACAATTAACGTGGAAATTAAAAAAAATGTAGATTCAAGCTAGATTCGGTAGCTATAGGAGTATCGAGTCGACCAAAACTGACTGGAATTGTACGAGGAAAAGCATTTTTGCATGTTTTGCGCAGACGTCCGATAGGTTGCCCAGACTCACGCAAACGTACCCTATAATGCCAGATGTGATGGATATGATAGAGAGCGACATTGACTAGACTATTTTTCTAATGACATTTGTACTTTGAGAAATGAATGCTGAAGGAAATAAATCTTTAATTACATACATCATTTTGCGATCTGTTCCAATTTAAAAATTAGAGAAAGAAAAATAACATAATTCTAAGTAATATATATTTTAAGTAATTTTCTTAAAATATATATTACTTAAAAGTTACATATACACAAAATTTAATATACTTATCGTATTAATTTGTACGGTTTATAATTAAGATCGTATTGTAACTTTAGCGTCTCTCTCTCTCAAAGTGCATTTTTATTGCAGTAAATACATTATTGTTGTACAGGGAGGCGAGACAAAAATTATGATGGAAAATTGGGTCGCCAGTATTGAAAGTTTGAGAAACACTGCTTTTAATGTATGAGTGGTGCACAGAGTATTTTATGACTAATTAATTAATACTAAATTAAGAACAAGTTTAATAATTATTAGCTACTTCCATGGGCTTGTCTTACAGAGCAAAGTTTTTAAAAGGAGTTTTAAGATAAGAAATTGACCCTCTGAGTTCATTTTCTATATTTAGCTGATATCTATATTTTGTCTAAGCAATCACCGCATTTTGTAATATGTTCCAATTTAAAAATCAGAGAAAGGAAAAACAACTTAGTAATTATCCTATTACTTAAATTTTTTTTGCTTAAAAGTAACATATACACAAAATTTAATACTTATGTCATGAATTTGTACGGTTTATAATAAATATTGTTGCTTTATCGTAAAAGTGCATTATTATTGCATTCAGTAAATTATTATGTATAAGGGGGGCGCGATAAAAATTGAAAGTTTGAGAAGCACTGCCCTAATCGCTTTAGGACTTAAACGCAAACTTTAATTGATTAACAATGTGAAACTAAATAACGTAAAAATTGTCTAGAATATTTTTTTTTAAATTGCGAAAAAATACTTGCTTTATTGAAATAATATGAATATATACTGAAGAGAACAAACCCAGTTTCAGTGACGTACATAAGGACGAGATTTTGGAGGTTTGAAATCTGCCCCTCCTCCCATTAACCAACAAATTTGAAATTTTTAGCCTTATGATTACACCTAGGTACTTTCTTGTACATTTTTTTTAAAAAGATAAAATCTCCTCTTCATTAAAGTAGTCTGTGAACTCCACTTTGTCCTCATTGCGTTACTACTATGAGAGAATTTTTGGATAAAGTTTTCATGAACAAAAAGTATTCGTAGCTTTTTTCACAGAAGATGAAGAACTATGATTTTTATTAAACTAAAAGAATAATTTTAAAGAGAATAAAATACATGCTCCACATTAAACAATCAATTTGATTTATGTGTGTGTGTTTCAATTGATTGATTACTTATGAACGTTGCATTTTAAAGCAGTTGTTGGCGTCGGACCTCGTAATTTGGAACAACAGTCAAATGACAAGGGATGCATCTCTTTGTAAACTACCGCCCCGCCCCCCCCCAAATTAACACACGAGTACTTTTAAACGAGATAATATTCATTGTGGCTCTGTAAACCATATAACTCAATTAACTGTCATGCACACTGTATTCACAATATTTTTATTACTAATTTATATCTTGAACAGAATATCACTTATTTATAATACGCAATGAACGAACAAAGAAAGGATGTTTTCCGGAGAAAGGCAAAAAATATATATTTAGAAAAATGATTTTTCCAATAATTTTTAATAGAAAGTAGAGTAAAATATATATATAATACAAGAGATGGAAACAATACATTTCAGATGCAACAACAAGGAAGTTTAAAGTAAAGCCAAACATTTAAATACAATTGTTAGCTAATTTTTAATAACACTGGCTTAGGAAGATTTTTATTTTTAACAACGGAATTCCTCATATATTTTGAAGAAATCGTAAGCAAATGGTTTGAAGACTACGGAAAATGACCTACCTCTTACATAATCTGAGTCACAAAAAACAAGTTGAACAAAAAAAGTATTTTTGCTGCTTCTCAGAGTTTTATTTACAAATATCGCAAAAATTATGAAGGTAACAATAAAAACGAAACTATATTTTTTTTTGTTTTTATTTTCTAGTTTATCCACTTACGATATCTCCCGCGTGGTCTAGTGGTTAGGATACCTGGATCTCACCCAGGAGGCCGGGTTCGAATTCCCGGCGTGGGAAGTTGTTTTGGCACACTTAAACAAATGTTTACATTCACTTAAGATCATAAATTAAAAAAAAAAAAACTAATTCTACTCTTTCAACAAATTAAATATATTAAAATCACTTTTTAAGCTCAAGTTAAAGAAATTACAGTTTTTTAAATATTTATCTTTTTCATCGAGAATAGTTATATAGTCTGAACAATATTTTCTTTCACTGATTATTAAAAATAAAGTTGATGAGATAAATCCATTTGCAAACTTAAAAAGTCTATTTTATAATACTTAAAAAAAAACCTAGATTTTTTTAAATAAACAAAACTAATTGAATTAATACAGTAATTAATACCTGTGTGTTTTTTCCAGTTATAATTTCTTCAGCTTAAATAATTTTGAGAAAATTCTAAAAAATAGACAGTTTATTTGAAAGCTTAGCCATGTGAAGAAAAGGAAAATTTTCAAATTACACATAAAATGTCTTAGTTGCAATATATCTTACATTTAATACGAGAAAAGAATTAAAAATGTAAGCCATGACCCGGACGTGATTTGAACACGCAACCTTCTGATCTGGAGTCAGACGCGCTACCGTTGCGCCACCAGGCCACATTAAGCAAACAGCAAAGATTGTATAAGAATGTGACAAAATTTAACAAATAATACGAATAATGTAAAATCTGATATGCAATACGTACTTTTGATACGGAAAATAAGATCCAAATTTATAGGTTCACGTTATGCGCTCGGAATCAAAATGAGAGCTTCAAAAATAAAAACGGAGATGATTATAGAAAAAAATTAGTTTTCTACATACATTGAAACATTGTTTATTTAAAAGAAATACCATTCCTTATGAACTTAAAGGGTTGTAGTTCTCGAAATATACTAATTCCTCTAAAGCTTTGAACAAAACTTCAAATGATTGACTTCAAAACATAAGAATATTACACATGTATATTTCAGGTGACAGGGTCGACTCTAGCAATTTCGCCATCCCGGACAAAAATAAAATATGCCGCCCCTTTTTCTAAAGCAAAAAAAATTGTAATTTTAAATAAAAAACTTCACATAGATAATTATCTGTTATTATTTCAAAAGAGTAAAATGTAAGAGAAGGAATTGCACATTCCAGCAGGCAAATTTCTTCGAAAAAGAGTTAACTAATGGTGAGAAACACAAGCGTTTATTTTAACTTATAGTAACTATGCCCAAAACAAAACATTTTTCGTGGCTCTCCACCATAAACTTATTACCCCTGTCCCTTTTTGGATCGTTGACAGGCTAACACTAGACATGATATGGGTGAAAGGAATGCCCATTGTGACCCCACTTCAGGATGGGGGTGAGTGAGTGAATATTAACGTCACACTGTTCAGCTACATAAGGGCTTTTGGCGACGGACCACGTAATTTTGAACCATGGTCAAGAGATGTGGACGACACCTGAGCTGACACCCCCTCTCCTAACTACCACGCCACACCAACGGGAGGACGCTTCAGCTCTCGATAGATTTAACGTGCATCACTGCTCTACATGGCGGGTCTTCAGTAGTACTGGGCTCGAACTCCTGCCAAGGCCAGCCACGATCCGATATCTTGGCCACTTTCAGGATAGGGAGAAAGATGCTAGTGAAAGATGTGTAAAAAAATAAATTTTCATTATTTAAGATATATTCCTGCCTCGAAACCTTCAAGTTTCGACGTATAAGAAAACTGACATTAAACATATAGAGTACAAAATAAGGTATGTTAAATGTAATACCAAATTCACATCCAATAATATTTCAGAAAATATATCACATTTTTTTCAGTGGCGTAACGGAAAATAATTGCCCCCCCCGCAAGGTCAGATCTTGGGCCCCAAGCCGGGTATATATATATATATACAAATAATTGCAAAACCATAACATAATGTACCTTTATACATCACGTAAAAATATTTAAATATTAAACTTCTAACTGAATATAAAATCAACCTGTGTGTCTGAGTAAACAAAGTAAATAACGTTTAACATTAGAGAGTATTTATAGTATTTAAAAAATGGAAAATCTAACAACAGTCGACTGATAACCTGGTAACTTAAATAAAAACGATGCACTAAGAAAAACACAAACACTGTAAAATAATATTTTCGATTTCAGATCCACATGATAGAAAAAAGGTATCACTTACCAAATTCTTCGTTTATAAATACCGGGATGAGCTTGACCTTAAGTTCGATACAATTCTAGCATAAATTGTCAAAAAGTCAAAGACACAACAACTGTTACTAATAAGAAAGCATGGACAAAAAAAAAAGAATGCGCTCGCAGTACCACTCAGTTTGAACTACAAAAGTAACTAGTTCAGTTCAGTTCAGTTCAGGTTTTGTGGGATATGGAGCAACAAAGGCTATGATCCCCTAAAAGACATGTTTCTTAAAAATTAGTAGATGTCAAAATATTTCAGTTTCTGGATAAAAAATCTGAATGTTAATCTGTTAGACATAGCTTTCTCCAATAATTCTTTGAAAGTCAGGTTGTGATGTGGATCGATTTTGAGAAAATGTTTTAGATGATTTCGAGAGAGAGAGAGAGAGGATGAATATATCTATTGCAGTTTAACAAGATGTGGTCCAAATCGTTTAAGCAATTACAAGATCTACAATTTGCGTTATCCGATAAATTGAATTTATGCAGAAGTCCTGGAGTGATGATCATTTTGCTGAAGATTCGAGTACATAGGATTTCTTCTCTTCTGTTTCTTGTCCATTTAGCGATGGTGCTTATGTTAGGAATATTTCCCAAGTTTACAAAATATTTGCTTGAATAGAAATTATCATTGGCTTTTTTAAAACTCTCTTGATATATTTTTTTTATTGATGTCTTCTGAGGAAATCCAGTCTATGTAAACATTAGACTCTGTGACAGTTCTTGCGAGATTATCCGCCTGTTCATTCCACAATATATTTGAGTGTCCCGGAGTCCAAAGTAAAATCAACTGGTTATTATAAAGTGATAGAATGTAAATCTTGCTAGCTAATTTATGGATGACACTATGGGATTTAATTGAGTAATTTTGAAGAGCAGAGAGAACAGAGAGACTATCAGACAAAATTAACAAATTCTTGTTTATAATAGATAGATCATCTAGAGCTTGGCAAATAGCCAGAGCTTCAGCTGTAAAAATAGAATTATTGTGATTTATTCTATAAGCAAAATGGGAATTTGCCGTAATACCTGCAATAGATGTAATTTGCTCATTTTTTGAGGCATCAGTAGCTATTATATAAAAGTCCCCTGGAAGTTACGGTTTACCGTTTCATCAAATAAGCCCCTTATAATTTGAACTGGTAAGCTTTTATCCTGAAATGCGAAATTATTGATATATATATATATATATTGCATGGGAGAATTGAAAACGATGTTATTCTGGGGATTGAGATAATGTAAATACTAACGGCATTCAAAGGGTTTAGTATATTTATAATAGAATTTTTATCTTCTTCCATAATATTGAGATTCAGAAACTCAGGGTTATTGCTATATAATGGAGGAAAGGTTTGGCTAGAAATTTGAGAAAGGAAAAACTTATTTGCCAATCTTCGTATTTTGTCCGACAGAATTTCTTGTCCAGCCAATTTTAAAAGTACGATGTTTGGGGTCCATTGTGGAAGTCCCAGTGCAATTCGAAGTGCTTTGGTGTGAATGATATTAAAAGGTTTCAGTTGGTTTATCAGACCATTTATTTATTATATGACTAAAGTAGTAGAAAATACTGCATATACTATTATTTACTATTTTGATTAAATCTGCTGTTCTTGGTCCATGATGCTTATATGCCATAGCCTTAAGGCTATTAATTTTATTCAAGGCTTTGTTATTTAATTGGTTTCTTAATGAAATATTCTGGCTCCGCTTGGAAAAATGAACTCCTAAATATTTGATAGAGGATTGCCAAGGGAGAGAATGTCCCTCCAATAAAATATTAGGAAACGTAGTAATTCTTTTGTTTGATAACTCTGATATTGGGTTGTTCGCGACACACACTACTAGCTAATATACAGCACTACACTCAAGAAGTAAAACACAAAAAAAGCGATTAACGTCTCACATTTTTCTTAGAAAAGTCGGTTATTAATTCATCCAATTCAATTTTTATTGCTTCTTGTTGTTCAATACTTATCAAAGACAAATAGGAGAGCCTCTCTTTTGACATCGTACAACGTAGATAATTTTTTTATTAATTTTAATTTAGAAAATGACATTTTCGCCATTGCAAAAATAACTGGAAGAGTCAAAAACAATAAAACTGCAATACATACATCTGGTAAACTTGGCGCAGCAAACTTATTTTGAATCATCAAAAAATTACCTAAATCTTTTATCGAATTCAGCTTAATTTTAAATCTTCACTAAAAACTGCTTTTAGAGACATAATTTGATTTGGAATTTCACTATATAGGTCGAGGCTATATACTTTTTGAAGATAACGGAAAAGCTCCTTCCTTTGGCATCTTTTTGGAAATTACCCACTGGTTGATATGGGCCCAATTTTAAAATTTATTCCCTTAAATCTGCATCTATGGGCGTACCTACATAATGCGCAAAATCATTTCTAATCAATTTTGTTTCTTCGTTTTCATTTTCCGACTCCTAATAAAATATATCTTTATTAGTTGAAGTGTCCGAAACTCTCTGTGTTTTTTTTCTTGTGGATTAATTTTCACTCCCAGGATTTGTTCATCAAGTTCTTTGGCATTACTACTACTAGCACTTGCACAAGATGATGAACTTGCGGATATAAAAAAGTTATCCAATTTTGCTTATTTGCTATTAATATTATATTCCTTTTCCTTTCGAATTTTTCGTTTTTGAGAACCACTCAAAGTTTTTTTAACTCACTTAGGGCCGCGTTTCTTCTTGTCTTATTAACAAAATAACAGTATAAGAACCAGAATAATTAATTCCGTTTTTACAAAAAACAGTTCTAATATTACAAGAGAGTGAGATCAAAATGTTTTAGCAGCGAAGGAACAAT